AACTTTGAAAATACTGTGTCACCTGAAATAAGCCAGTAACAAAATGATGAATACTATGATTCCACTTATATGAGATATTTTAAGTAGTCACACTCATAAAAAAAAAAGTAGAAAGGTGTTTGTCAAGGGCTCCACAGAGGGTAAAATGGGTTGTTGTTACTTAATGGGTATTGAGTTTTAATTTCACAAGATGTTAAAATTTTAGAAGTCTTTTGCATAACAATGTGAATAGACTTAACATGCCTGAAATGTAGACTTTTTTCAGACAGGGTCTCACTCTGTCACCCAAGCTGGAGTGCAGTGGCACAATTATGGTTCACATTAGTCTCAAACTCTCAGTCTCAAGTAATCCTCGCTTCTCAATCTGCCAAGTAGCTGGGACCACAGGTGCATACCAACATGCCTGGCCAGTTTTAACATTTTTTTTGTGGAGAGAAAATCTTTATATCTTTCCCAGGCTGGTCTCAACATTTTGGGCTCAAGAGATTCTCCTGTCTTGGCCTCCCAAAATGTGAGAATTACAGATGTGAGCCACCACTATGCCTAGGCCTGAAATATACACTTCAATAGATTTAAGATGGTAAATTTTACATGTTTTTACAACAAATTTTTTAAAAGAAAAATGAAAAACTACAGAATTATAAATCTTTTCAAAAATTACCTTCAAATCACAAAACTGCTTCTCTTACACAAAGGAAACAAATGTTCATCATTAAACACATGGTGAGAATAAGACTATTTCCATGACTACTCACTGAGACAAGATAAAACAACCATTGAAAATCAGCTAAAAATATATATAAGTTATAACCAAAATTGGGGTTATATTTATAGATAAACATACACAGATACATAATCTGATTGTGATAGATGTATGGCTAATTTATCTAATTAAACCCCACACTGACTTAAAATGTACAAACAGAATTGCTCATTGTCTAAAATTATAATACCTAAGTAAAACAAAAAAAACAATAAACCAATGTTAAGAAACCTACACTGGGCCGGGCGCAGTGGCTCAAGCCTGTAATCCCAGCACTTTGGGAGGCCGAGATGGGCAGATCACGAGGTCAGGAGATCGAGACCATCCTGGTGAACACGGTGAAACCCCTTCTCTACTAAAAAATAGAAAAAACTAGCCGGGCGAGGTGGCGGGCGCCTGTAGTCCCAGCTACTCGGGAGGCTGAGGCAGGAGGATGGCATAAACCGGGGAGGCGGAGCTTGCAGTGAGCCGAGATCACGCCACCGCACTCCAGCCTGGGCGACAGAGCGAGACTCTGTCTCAAAAAAAAAAAAAAAAAGAAACCTACACTGAAAACACACACTATAACAGAAATGCTTATTCATAAAATCTGTAATGCAACATTGATGTACAATTCAAAAAATTTGTCTGGATAACTACAATGTTTGGCTGTAACTGTGTACTCAGGGAAGGCATTTTGAGTCATTGGCATAAACCATATAACAGCAAAATTTCAGAGAATGCAGAATAATCATAAATAGAAGATTCTAATGAGAAACTTTTTTTTTTTTTTTTGAGACAGAGTCTCGCTCTGTCACCAGGCTGGAGTGTAGTGTTGTGATCTCAGCTCACTGCAACTTTTGCCTCCCGGGTTCAAGTGATTCTCCTGCGTCAGCCTCCCAAGAAGCTAGGACTACAGGTGTGCACCACCACGTCCAGCTACTTTTTGTATTTTTAGTAGAGACAGGGTTTCACCATGTTGGCCAGGATGGTCTCAATCTCTTGACCTCATGATCTACCCACCTTGGCCTCCCAAAGTGGTAGGATGACAGGAGTAAGCCACTGCGCCTGGCCAAGAAACTTTTTAATAAATAAGCATTTAAAAGAAACTAGAGTTGATTTTTGTGTTTTAAATATATGCTATTCTTACACAAAATGAAGCTGTTGTAATCCAACTTTAAAAGTAAATAGTCTTACATTTTTATATACACACACACACACACACACACACACACGCAAAATAGGGTTAGAGCCTCTGATATATATAATAAATATTTGGAAATAAATTATTATTTAGATATAGGTTAAAGAAAGTGGGTACGAATCCTATAATTCTTTTTTTGCCTTCAGGAAACTTAAATTTATAGGTAACTATTTTAGTAAACATGGAGTGCCTACTAATTATCTAATTTACTTCAAACATAACATATACATTCTAGCATATTGTCCTAAATGTCTGAATCCAAAATCACAGACAAATTTGGAATAGAAAATACAAAGTAAAAACATATAGGGAGAGTGAAATCAGTAAGATGGAGAAATAACAGTTGCCCTATTTTCTTATCCCTCCAACAGCAAGAAAATTTCTCAACCATCCCTGACAAAAAAGCTTTTATGAGAGAACCAGGCCTCATGGCTCGAACCTGTAATGACAGCTACGTGGTACATTAAGGTTGGAGAATTGCTTCAGGCTAGGATTTCAAGACAAGCCTGGGTTATGTAGCAACACCCCATCTCCAAAATGAATACCTTTCAGAGAGCTTTACCATCCAGTGAGGGAGCTGTGAAACTCTGCTATAGCTCAAAATTGAGGAATGTTTCTCTTCAGAAGGCAGACCCTCATTCCGGTGGCAAACTACAAGACCTCCATTCTTGGCTACGGACCAGAAAATCGCTCACCTAATTTGGTCACACTGAGAATTCTACTTACTCTGTAATCATCCCAAACTTTTACCAGCCACAATCTGGGAGAGGTCCTCTTCTTCCAGAGGTCTGGAAGAAGACACTCATTTACAACCATGCAACAGGCCTGCAGACATTGGTCTTTACTGTGCTGTGGTCCCTGAAGCAGTTCAATGACTTAGTTCCAGCTCTCTGAGCCACAGTTCATGGCCAGTTCTGCTTAGATAGATATTCACACAATGACCTGAGGAAATGCTCTCTGGTACTCAGTGAAAGCCATATTCATCTGCATCCCAATGTAAGGCCTACCATATGCAGACCCAACTGCAAGAATCTGTCCTACTGTCTGCCCTGCAGTGCAAAATCCTGAAGGATATTCAGTCTGTCCAAAAATAAAATGGGAATTACAACTACACAAGCCTCTATAACAAACCAACTAAAGGTGGACCCAAGTGCAGACCCAGCAGCCTTGTGACGAAGCTAAACCCCTCTCTACTACAAACCCAGAAGACATCCCATCACCCTGGGACCCAACGAAAGATCTTTACCTCCTGAAACCAGTTTATAAAAACTCAAAGAGGTGGTTGCTTCTTCAAATTTACAGACACCAATGTAACATTATATTGTGCCCATTGTCAATGCTTCTATTTTAACATTGCACTGCAAGTATATGGCAGAAGAAAGTCAAAAAAATGATAAATATTTCAATGATGAAGTCATTAAAATTGAAGACAAAAAAAGTAAAAAGTTGCTGTTTGTAGATCATATGATCTCATATTTTAAAAACCATAAACAAGGCTGGGTGCGATGGCTCATGCCTGTAATCCCAGCACTTTGGGATGCCGAGGCAGGTGGATCATTTGAGGTCAGGAGTTTAAGACCAGCCTGGCCAACATGGTGAAACACTGTCTCTACTAAAAATACAAAAATTAGCTGGGCGTGGTGGTACACGCCTGTAATCCCAGCTACTCAGGAGGCTGAGGCAGGAGAATTGCTTGAACCCGGGAAGTGGAGGTTGCACTAAGCCAAGATCACACCACTGTACTCCAGCCTGGGTGACACAGCGAGACTTATTCTCAAAAACAAAAACCATAAACAGTACATTAAAACCTGTCTAAATTAATAAATGCACTCAGTAAATTAGCAAAATATAAAATTAACATACAAGTTATGGTTCCATACATTAAAACAAATTATCTGATAAAATAGAGAAAAAGAAAACAATCTTATTTACAATAGCATTAAGATAGTAAATTTCTGAAAACAAATTTATCCAAGGATGTAAAAAATCTTTACAATTAAAGACACATCAATGAAAGAAATTAGAAAGGACAAATAAATTTAAAAACATTTTATATCTATGGATTGAAAGAATATTGTTAAAATGCCATATTATTCAAAGTGATCTATAGATTCAATAAACTCCCAATCAAAACTTAAGTGGTAGTTTTTTCACAGTAATGAAAAACACGATTCTAAAATGTACATAAAACTACAATAAACTTTGAATAGCCAAAGCAATCTTGAGGAAAAAGAACAAAGCAGAGAAACATCATACTTTAAAATGTCAAACTATATTTCAAGACTATAGTTTTAAAAACAGGATGGAATGTGCAGAAAAATTAAGAACAACAAAAAAAGAACAGAAACCACTACTCACACCTTTCAGATATAATGCAAAAAGAAAACTTAAAAAGTAGTTTAACACAGAGTTCCTCAAAATTATGCAGATATTTGTGTATCTTCCAAACAATGGAAAACTAGTCAGATTGTGCAGTCTCTTATATGCCACGAAGAGGACTTCGGCTCTCACTGTAAGCTTGAAAAAAGATCAATGAGGGGAAAGCAGAATCCACAGAGAATTCAAAAGCATAAGATGGAAGATGCCCCGAAATGAGAGGAAAATTTTAAAAACAACCCAGCTTTATAGAAATTATTTGTTTTGGCCGGGCGCGGTGGCTCAAGCCTGTAATCCCAGCACTTTGGGAGGCCAAGACGGGTGGATCACGAGGTCAGGAGATCGAGACCATCCTGGCGAACACCGTGAAACCCCGTCTCTACTAAAAAATACAAAAAACTAGCCGGGCGAGGTGGCAGGCGCCTGTAGTCCCAGCTACTCGGGAGGCTGAGGCAGGAGAATGGCGTAAACCTGGGAGGCGGAGCTTGCAGTGAGCTGAGATCCGGCCACTGCACTCCAGCCCGGGCTACAGAGCGAGACTCTGTCTCAAAAAAAAAAAAAAAAAAGAAATTATTTGTTTTGAAACACAGCTTCCCCAAATTACATTTTAAAGACTGGCTTTCTCTTTGACCTTGGGACCTCTCATCTGTGTTGTTTGTTGTGTTCACTCTCACCTACCTGGGGGTTCATCCACTATCTCATGTTGCTTCATATTCCAGGGCTCTTTTTCTTTTTCCAGACAGGTAATTAGGTCTGGCTTAGAGGCAACAATACCTGTTTTATTAAAAGTAAATAATATTAATCTTGCCCATATTCTGTAATTACCAACTTAGTAATGTATACAATAAAGAGGATGTAATAGAATATTCTAGTAAATTAATCCCAAAATACTAATTTATAACAGAAACTTCTAACTATTTAGAAAACATTTTTAATTTGTAGGTACTTAATTTCACTACCCAGAACTACTGAATCAGAAATTGATGGTGGCAATTAGATTTTAAAGTGTGGGAAACAATATTTTAGGCCACTGAATTTCTGGAATTAACACTAATCCAGAGCTAAGAATGCAGATTAGCTCAGGAATGTGGAAAGTTAATGTCAAAATAAAACATCCTGAAGAAATTGTCTTCTACATGGATAAATCAGCAATATTTTCTTGAAAATGAGGATCTGAAACTCATTTATGCAAAGCATACTTTACCAAAAAACAATCTACAAAGAACAGAAATAAAATCTTTAGGATATATTAGAAATAGTGTATTGAAGTTATTCTCACCCAGGAAGACCAGGTTTCTGTAGTTCTCTAACATCACATTTCTATATAAATTTTGCTGTGCAGTGTCCAGGCATTGCCACTCCTCCAGAGAGAATTCTATGGCCACATCCATAAATGTCAATGATGGCTGAAAAACATACAAACACACGTATTTACCAAGTGGCCATGGGCAGAATTTTTAATTTGACTCAAGGTGAAATGTGAGAGTAAAGAGAACTGGTTCTGACTTATAGGACTGACTAAAATTGTCCAATAAAATGAATTTCAACACAGAAATATTCTGAGAAAATAGAGTGGCATAGGATCCACAACATCAGCGTATAGATGCTGTTTTTCTGGATAACAAAGTATAAAATCAAGGGCATAAACACAAACGTACATTTTTGAGTGCTATATTTACATTCTAAAGAATGAGGTGTGTGTATTTTTCAGATCAAAAAGACATGCTAAGTTAGAAAGTACCTCTTAAATTTTAATGTTATACAGTACACTTGATATCTTTTTAATGCAGATATTTTTTCAGAAGATCTGCAATAAAGTCTGAGTTGCTCATCATTAATGCCAATGTTTTTGCCCCAAAAAGATTTTGTCAAACATCAAGTAAAAGAGCCTGTGTTTTTCCCAGTTTTTCTGGCCTGTAAGCAAAGATGAGAGCTTTCATTTTCCAAACACAAACACATGCAAAGAAAACCTAAGAAAGAAGGGAAGCTTCCAGATTAAATATGATTATTTATGCATGTCAGCTGCATAAAGATACTTAATAATAAAGAGAAAAATAATTAACTCTATAGTAAAAAAAAAAAAATCTGTCAGAGAGCTCTTTAACGAAGTGAATCATTAATATAAAGTGCACAAGGACAAATTTTTATAATGTGCTGATACACACAGGACACAGCATCACTACTGAAACATTGTCACCATACAGAAACATCAGTTTTATGCAAAGTTCAAGATACAGATAACTTCCATGTTCTGTAACTTTTAATACTGATATTAAGTAGTCTTTCTTTAGTACCCTATACAGCATGTATCTTCTAATTTTTTTTATAACTTTCTGGGTGATAAATGCCATCCTGTTTAAATAAGCATTTTTTTAAATCCTGTTTTGCATAGAGCTAATGGAGAGCACAGATGGAATCTCAACATTACATCTTCTCCATTTTTACCAAGAACCCCCAATTTTTCTCAAGAGAAATCTTGAGTATCCACACCTTCCCACAGTCCACAACCACAAAGAGAACAATTTTAATATTGCAGATTATAAATTCATGGGGAGAATTCTGCATGGCATATAAGAAACCAAGACATAGAGAATGTAGAAAAGGCTTTGGTATATAGGAAAGAAATATTTTGCAGAGATCACTGGATATTATATGAATTTTTAAAAGTAGTTAAAACAAACTCATTAGGGAGGAAAAACACAAAAGTAGAGAAGTAAAGATTTGCAAGTACTAAGCGCATGGCAGTCCAGGAAGCAAAGTGGACACCGCTCTTGATCTGAGACACGTTTAGCTAAAAGAAAAGCCTTTTTTTCCTCTTTATCTTCCTCCTCTGGATTCCTGCTCAGATGAGATTCTTTGGACAAATTACACCTGCATCTTGAAAATATGCCTTTAAAGGTTTCAGCACCACCTGTTAACCTGCTAGTACCACACCCACAGGCAGAGGGACCAAAACCTGCAGAAAAGGCCCACCCATTTTGGTCCTTTATAACAGAAGGGATTCAGGAACAATGAACTGCTCCATGGGGGCAAAAATAAAAATTTCTCTTTCCAGCCGGGCACGGTGGCTCACACCTGTAATCGCAGAACTTCGGGAGGCCAAGGCGGGTGGATCACCAGGTCAAGAGATCGAGACCATCCTGGCCAACATGGTGAAACTCCACCTCTACTAAAAATACAAAAATTAGCTGGGTGTGGTGGCATACAACTGTAGTCCCAGCTACTCAGGAGGCTGAGGCAGGAGAAACGATTGAACCCAGAAGGCAGAGGTTTGCAGTGTGCTGAGATCGCGCCACCACACTCTAGCCTGGCGACACAATGAGACTCCATCTCTAAATTAATAAATAAATTTCTCTTTTTCTGTCCTCAGGTGCCCTCCCTTGCCACAGACACCAACAATTTCTGCTACAGTAATGGAAATATGGGCCACACTGCCCTGTGCCTACCAAACCCAAACAGAAAAAGGCCCTGTAACCACCCTCTAGTGCAAAGATGAAACTTAACTCATGAATGTATCTTGAATCCATCATACCTGATTCTGGCCTCACCTTAGAGTCACATGAGGGATTTCATTAAAACGACATGGATGCTTCCACCCAGAATAAACAAAATCCATGGAAAGGGCACAAGTAAAGAGATTTCTGCCAATTTTTCATGTATTCCTAGTTAGAAATCTGGGCTGAGGCCAGACACAGTGGCTCACGCCTGTAATCCCAGCACTTTGGGAGGCCAAGGTGGGCGGATCACGAGGTCAGCATATCGAGACCATCCTGGTTAACATGGTGAAACGCTGTCTGTACTAAAAATACAAAAATCAGCTGGGCATGGCAGCATGTGCCTGTAATCCCAGCTACTCAGGAGGCCGAGGCAGGAGAATTGCTTCGACTTGGGAGGTGAAGATTGCAGTGAGCCGAGATCTTGCCACTGCACTCCAGCCTGGAGACAGAGCTAGACTTCATTTCAGAAAACAAAAGAAAGAAAGAAATCTGGGCTGATAACCATTTAGCTAAGCATTGCCTCTCAAACTTTAATGAGCTTAAAAATCACTTGGTAATTTTGGCCCCATTCTATGTATTGTAATTCTGATAGTTTTGATGCGGTTTAAAATGGGTGTTTTAAACAAGTTCCCTGTCGGTGATAATGTTGCTTCCCCTGGGTTCATGATTAGCATTAGTTAGAGAAAGCAGGCACAGGACAGAGTCGCTTACACTCAGCACTTCTCACAACACAAATACTTCTAGGACAAATGAAGACAACTCATCTCCATTCTGAAGGATCATATTCTTCACTGGCTCTTTAAAGTTTACAGAACAAACAGCAAAATCTGAAGAAGTCTGCATTTTATAAACATGTGAACGTGTACTAATGCAATAATTACGGAGCACTGTGCTGGGAATAACACACTATTGGATTTAATCCTCATAACACCGAGGGAGCTGGTACTAAGTATTTAATAATTCCCAAAATTTAGATAAAGGGTCCGGCATTTTTATTTCTTCTTCTGTTTGTCATCAATTTCTTTAAAAACTGTATAGAATAAAAGCTAAATACAGACTGATGAGAGGGATAAGGAAAGAATTTAGTGTAGTTTTGAGACATTTTTATTGTTTTATGTTTAATTTTTTGTAACCTGTCTAGCAACTACTGGATTTGCAGGAATAGAAAACAAGTTACTAAATGGAATGTCTCTGCAAGCACCAGTTTTAATGGAAAATTTAAAAATTAAGACCCTAAAATATACTTTTTTTCATTTATCTGCTTTTGGGTTTCAAGAAAGCATGAGCACCAGCTCTAGAAAAAAAAAAGAGAATTCACCAGCCAAACCTCTGATCTCTTCTAATCAGTTCTATGAGGCAAGGCTCCAGAGTGGAGACAGATCTAAATAAGGCCTCCCAAAAGGGTGATCTGAACAGAATTAGGGCAGGGAGGGGACCCTATATCGAATTCTGCTCTCTACGCCATTGAAGGTACTTCCAGTTCTGTTTTTCCTAAGCTTACCTAAGAGAAACTTAAATCCCAGAGTTTGTATAATTTTTATAACTGCACCCTCAATTTTATAACATAATAAATTATAAGCAATTTAAACAAATTTCTTACAGATTTCTAGGGTAATTTTATTAGAAGACAAATATGTATTCTTAGCAAGGTAAAAGAAATAGAAATAACAATAAAAAGTCTCCATCTATAAATATCCCTTCAGGTGATGACATCAGAAGTCACAACAATATAAAGAACGTGGCCCCAGAGAAGCCCAAAATCTTTCTGCACACATCTATTCATTCTACCAATTATATAATGCTTAATTCAACCATTTATGCAGTTGCTAGTCTAGACTAAAAGTTCATAAATGGTAGAGACCATGACTGCTTCATCTATTTTTCTAATGGCCATATGAAATGGAAGCAATTAGTGTGTCTGTTTGAGTTCCAGACCTCCTCCTCATTTTTCACCCAAGTACTAGAAAACTGGAGCAACTCTCATCTGGGTGCCAACCAAAGACATCTCTTGTATGAGGGGAGGAACAAACACAGGATGACTCATTTCTCTTACACTGAGACAGAAACAGAATTAACCAACCACTCTTGTCAGCCTAACACAGTTCTGCTCTGAACATCCTCAAATGTCTCAAAGATGCCTACATGATTGCGAGAGGATTCCCAGTGACTCTGGGATGATGGCCCAATGATGAGCCAGGAAAGAGAGACTCAGACTGATTCTAAATAGAAAATGAAACTGCCCTGGACGAGCTCCAGAACCTGAATTACCTGTCGTGATTAGCAAACTCTTAGATAAGAAGAAAGACAAGAATACTCCAGTTTCACATTTATAGGTAGGTATAGTTGTGGTTATGGCTCTGGATACATTGTGGCCTTGATCCCTCACTCCTAAGATGCTTGTTTAGACTTATAGATTCTGCCATCAGATTCTATTTACACTAGGAGCCTCTCACATAATAGCAGCAGGTCACTGGACAAGATCTGAAAAGCTCAAAGAGCCACACTTTTAAAGGGCGGAGGGGTTACAAGATGTCTATGTTGACATCTCACCATGCAGAAAATGCCTCCTGTTGTACATTCTCAATTTAAAGCCCATCCCTTTTTTGTAAATCCCAGGCAGAGGCCAGACCTTACTTGCAAATTGTAGGTGGGATCAACCCGGCTCAGCATCCTTGGGTGTTACAGAAAGCAGAGTACAAGAAGAGATCCCCTCACAGAGGCTGCTCTAGCACAGTCTAAATGATATGTCTACCTAAGAGGAAAAAGCTGAGGCAACATGAATATAAGTAGAGAATTTATTTGGGCAAAGCTTGAGGATTATAATTTGGAAGGACACTTTCAAGTTGCCTGGAATCTACACTTTGATTAGCAGCACTTACAAGTAGATTTGTAAAGGCAAAAAGAGAGGG